CCATCAAAAAAAAAAGAAAAACTATAAGGGAAGGATAAACACAAAATTCAGGAGTGTGGTCAGTTCACGTAGTAGACACAGAGAGAGACAGGATAGAGAATGAACACAGGTGTCGCCACTGTTCCAGTTCTCAGGTGGGGAGGCAGGCTCATGGGTGTTCAATATATTATTTGATAGATAGATAGATAGATAGATAGATAGATGGATAATGGCTAGATGATAGATAGACTGATAGATATATGGATGATAAATAGACGATAGATGATAGGTAAATAGATGATTGATAGATAAATAGATAGTAGATAGATTGATTGATCGACTGATAGATAAAAGCAAAAGAGATTCATGCAAAGACCGACCAAAGACAGTGAGTCTTGAATTAAGGATCACAATGAATGGCTCTATGACTTGAGGTCTATTGCATTATCTGTATCTCCATTTATTATTAAAAGGAGGTATGGAGTCTAGTAACTCTGGGACCTCTGATCTAATGAGAACAGACTTCTAAGAAATCCATGTGCTCTTGGATTCAGAAAACTGATGCCCATTCTTGTGCCCCATCAGGGTTCTTCTGAAAGCTTTTCGGTTTCTCAGACTTCACTGTCCATCTGTCCTGTTCCTAGGTTCCAGGGCTTTTTCTACTGTGGCCTTCCCAACCTCTCATTAGTTAATTCATTTTCTAACACATCTTGCTGAGCATTTAGTATGTTTCAAGTGCTCAGACCTGGAGACACAGCAATGAGCAGAAGAGACCAGGTCTCCGTCCTCATGGAACTTATGTTTTGTACTTTGGTGGGGCAGAGTGGGAGGGGGTGAAAGGTGGTCAGGCAACAAAAGCAAATAAGCAAGAAAATAATTACAGCTTGTGGTCATTGATATGAAGGAGAGATGGGAGTGAGAAGGAGAGACAGCAAAGCCTTTCTGAGAAGGAGGCATCTGAACTGAGAAGCTGAGGGTGCAGAAAAGGCAGGACTAAAGCTGGTGAAAGAGTGCAGTTCCAGAGGGGACAGTGAGTGCAAAGGCCTGGAGGCAGGACAGACTTTGGCCTGTTTCAGGAACAGAAAGGAGGCCACTCTGCCTGCAGTGTACTGACTGAGGGCATAGTGATAGCAGACTCCAGAGGTCATTCACAGGGCACCAGCTGTGACCAAGATACAACCTGAGTCTCCTGGCACTTACGTTCCTGGTTGCACAGATTGCTTGCTTCCTGGTGGTCATAATTTCCTCTACTTCTCTGAATCTCACCCACTCTTCAAGACCAGGTCATGCCCATCTCCTCCCAGAAACTCCCTCAACTCTCCCAGCTCTTAGGAATGGGGGGCACCTAATATGTGTTTGGAAGTGGGTGACTCTCTTCACTGTCTTACCTCCAAGCCAGTATTTCCTAAAGTATGGCTTTCTGACCATCTGAATTACAATCCCCTAAAATCTACCTAAGTTTTAAAAGTATTTTTAGTGAAATATTTGAATTATAATGAATAGAATACTGATTATTCATATACCTAATATCTGCTTCTAAGAGCCTTACCATTTGTCCATATTTGCTTCTGTTTTATTTTCATTTTTTAAGAAACAGAACACATTACAAATACATATGTGGTGCACCAAAAAGGCCCAGGTCGGACTTCTCAATCGGAATTCCTGGAAGCAGAGCTGGGAATGAATGCAGTTTTGCAGATGACTCCCTTCCTCACTTCCCTTGCGCTTGTTACCCACAGTGGGAGTTTTTTTTTTTTTTTTTTTTTTTTTAGACCGGTTTGTTTTGTTGCCCAGGGCTGGCAGTGGCAGTGGCATGGATCTTGGCTCACTACGGACCTCCACCTTCCTGGATTCAAAAGTTCTCCTGCTCGAGCTCCTGAGTAGCTGGATACAGGCAGCGTGCCACACACCAAGGCTAATGTTTTGTATTTTGAGTAGTGAGTTTCATGATGTTGGCCAGGCTGGTTCTCATACTACTTGTCCTCTGGTGTTCTATTGCCTGTGGCTGTGTTCCAAATTATGTTGTAGGCGATGAGGCCACGCGCGCCGGTGGGGTTTTTAGCATGTAGTGAGATATTGACAATGTCTGATGATGTGCCATTTTCAATGTATCATCCAAGTAGTTTTAATAGCATTTAAGTGTGTTGTTTTCTTTGCGTATGTGTTATTTTCCCCTGGGGAATTTACGAAGTGCTGCCTCCTTTATCGTTACGCATGTATTGTGTGTGTTGGTTTATGTTTGTATATCTTCCATCATGTATCTTGCTGGTGGGTTTTTAGATATTGGGTAGCAGTATGGTGGGGGTCAGATAGGAGGACCGCCTCTGGTCTGAAACACTCCTGGTGATTATTCGAGTGTTTGGTGTATTCTTGTGTTCTGCTGTTCTCCCTCCAGATATAGTATTCAGACAGCCTTTCTTTATTGTTGTTTGAGTACTTGGGGGGGGCCCTCTTCCCCTTCAAAATATATCTATATAAGAGCTGTAAATCCTATATTGTATTTTTGTGTTTTATGGTTGTTGGGTATATCCTTGGTCCTTATATTTGCTATGTGTGTCCCTCATGTCCTGTTTCATGTATTTTAATCTTCTCCTAGTTGTGGACGTTTGGTTGTGTGTGTTGTGCTTGTATCTGCAATTGTAAAAGTTTTGATAATTGTGTGTATATTATTTCTGTATTCCCATATAAATATATTTAGTGTTATAGTAGTGCCTAAGTATTGCATGGGACATATGTGTACTAAAAAATGATTTGTTGTTTATTTGAAATTCAAATTTAACTAGGAGTCTTTTGTTTTATCTGGCAATCCTACTTGAGGGAGTATCTTCCGCGTCTCTGAACCTATTTCCCCATCTGGGAAATGAGAGGGTTGGACTAGATGTCCTCTGTGGGTTCTGATAGTTTGGATGTTAAGATGCATTGCACAGGCCTAGGAGCTTTTCTTCTCAGCCCCAGCAGGGGGCGCCCTAACCCTCCTCAGCCGCCTCACCAGCTAAAGGCTCAGCCAGGAGGCAACCGGGTCCTGCTGGCTCTGGGGGACCATCTGGAAACCAGGTTGTAAGAGCCGGTAGAGTCCAGGTTTGCCCATCCCTAGGACAGCCTATTCAGAAGGAGAGAAGAGAAGATCAGAGTCTCTGAAGATAGGACTATCTCACCCAGCGCCCCGTCTGCCAATATTTAGAAGAGAAGACTGAACTAGAGGGGTAGGCACTTGTCCAGGTTCACACATCTGTCCTGAAAATTAGATTCCTATCACCCTGTCCAGGACTCCTTTGTATCCTTTGAGTACCTTTATTTTTCTGTTTCCAGCTGGAAGTGTTTAACCCTTGCAGTCCTGTAGCCAAAACCAATGCAGACCCCAGCCAGCCCAGTACAGCCTAACAGGACTGAGACAGCCCTGAGTCCCTTCACAGAGGGAGTGTGGTCTGGAAGAAGGAAACATTACGACTCATGGATAAAGGATCAGTCTAGGCAGTGAGGAAAGAGCAGATCCCTCACATTTAAGTTGGGAGTGGTAGTTAACGATGATGATAATTATTATGGTGACTATAATGATTATTTATTGGCTTTCTCTATGCTGGGACACAACAACCTGTGAGGCAAGGATCATTATCGTCAGGATTTTTACCGATGCGGAAGTAAGCTCAGAGTGTTGGATCACTGGACTAAATGAGACTCCATCCAGTTCTGCAGCAGGAGCGGGAGGGAGGGCTGCTTCCGTTCTCTGACCCCTTTGACCTGGGTGCCTCCAATTTCATCAAGAGCCTGGCTAACTCCTCCTCAATGAATGGTACAGGGGGCCAGGATTATCTCCAAAGGACCCACACCTTCCCAATGAAGAGTCAGTGCCTGAAGGAAGGGATGCTCACCACTTCAGTTTAGGAGATGATTTTAGGAGAGTTACGAATTTGACATTAACATTGATTTGCTTACAGTTCAATTCTCGTTTGGTCTTTCTATCAAGGAGAACGTCTCTAAGATTTCTTCTTTTAGCAAGAAACAAAGCATTCTTTAAGAAGCATGAGGCACATTTATAACTGCATAACATTGTTTTTTCATTGTATGTGTATTTTTTACCATATTTATCTTTAAGGTTTATCTCTATGGTAAATGATAGTAATTTTTCATCTAAGGTAATAATACAATTTATTTTAAACGTTAAAATTTTTGTTTTTTTTTAAAAAAAAGTTGATTTGAAGTGGGGAGAAGGACAGATAGAAGGAAGTTATAGAAGCTCTGCCCTTAAGGGTTCTGGATTCTGACGGTCCCTGTTAACTCAGCCGATTAATTTTGCTGAAGCTAGCAGGGCATGCAGCCCTACCCTGTCCTCCCAGGGCCCTGAGCTGATTCATACAGCATGGCTCTTTGATGCTGAGGTTTTTTTGAAAACTGTGGCGCTCCCTATAGGGAAACATCCAGATATGAGGGAGGAAGCTCTGGGTTCCAGTTCTCCCCCTTTTTCAGTGCCTCATCACATGACCAAGTCACCCAAGCTCCCTGAATGTCAGTAAGTTGTTGGCAGAGCTACTGTGATAGTAACGTGTATTCCATGTATGATCTGTCCCGGGCTGACCACTGGGACAGAGTGCATCATTCAGTTCATAGGGCAAATGTTATATCTCCCACCTACCTGAAGGAGCAGTCGGTCCAAGTCATTTTCTATGAGAGTTCTCTGCTTTATTTCCTTTACAGCACATGTTTTTATCAGAAACAGTATTGCAAGCTTATGTATGGTCTGCCTGCTAGAATGTTAGAAAGCTCCAGGGGAGCAAGGATCATGCACGCTGCCTACTCGTAAGACCCCCTAACACACTGCAGGTACCTGATGAATGTTGCCAAATGACTGAATGAGCCAATGCTGAAATTTACTTTAATTCATCTCTCCACAGATTCCTAGAGATTATGAGACTAGTGCTGGGCTTGCATTCCTCAAATGGCCAGGACCAAATGGACAGATCTCTCCTACTGCTCTCCGTCCCATTGTGTAGAAGAGAATACCAGAATACAGTTTGATTTTTTAGGAGCTTTTATTATTTGAGTAATGTTAACATAACTTAAGAGACGGGAAATGACATCTGGAGATCCAGGTATGTGGCCCACTGCAATTGAGCACATTTTTTGGGTCTGTTTCTCTAAGGGGAGTCTCAAAACACCAGCTCAAAATATGACACATATAACACAAAATACGAACATGCATGAGCTTTGAAAAGTGCTCTGTAGTCTTAATGATGATCTAGAAGAGCACTGTCCAATAGAACTTTCTGTGATGATGAAAATATTCTACATCTGACCTGCTCAATAGGGTAACCACTGATCATGCCTGGCTCTCAAGCACTTGAAATGTTGCTGGTGTGATTGGGGAGCTGCATTTTGAATGTTAATTAATTTAAATTTAAATCTTAAAAAGTTATACGTGGGTAGTGGCTGCCGTACGGAACAGTACAGCACTAGAATAATGCTGTGTCTTCCTGTTACACACACTCATGGTCTCTCCTACTCTCCCTTTATTGCACCTGTGACATCTTGCAATTTATATTTGGTTGTGTCATTATTTAATGTATTCCTCTGGACTCTAAGCTCCAAAAGAACAAATGTTTTGTCTACTTTGCCATAACTGTGTCTCCAGTGCTTGGCATGGGACCTGGTACACAGTAGGTACATCATAAATATTTTGTGAATGAATGAATGAATGAATGAATGAATGAACGAACGACCGTGATTAATAAAAGGACATAGCTGCTCAGTCTGGTGCTGATAATGGTGGTAGTGATAAAAAGGGTTAAACCACAGGTCATTAAATGAAAACAGCTAAGTTAGTGCTTACAGGAACCATACACTCCCTGTGTGTAAACATACCAGTGTGTGTGCACAGGTGTGTGTGTGTGAAAGCATAATAATGTGTTTGCAAAGGTTTGCATTTTTGTAGTCGTGTGTAGACATGTATGCTCATGGGTTTGTGTGTCAGGAGAATAAGGTGACTAAGACTAAGACACATGCAAATCACCCAGGAAGGCAGTTTCTAAGTCATTACTTTTTATTTTGAAAGATTCGTGAAACTCTTCACACCATGGTGAGAGTTCGTATGATTCATAAGAAGCAGCTTTTTCATGAAATGCTTGGAGGTGAACGAGTTCTCAGCCTGTGAGATCCGACCATCCCATTAACTTTGAAGTTTCTCTTAATTAATAGAAGAAAAAAAGGGAGAATGAAGAAAAGGAGGAACATGCTAAAAACCTTATGACACTCATCCAAATGCGGGGAAAGAACAACCAATTCACTAACTCCACTTTTTCTATTTTACAACTTTCTACATCTCACTCTTGATTTTGGCCTTCCTGGCTGAAACAGCCTGGCAGTCCCCAGAGCCCCTGAGAAGAGCCCTGATTCTCCAAAAGACAGAGGAGGAGAAGCCCTGCAGGATGCGCCGACCACTTCCCAGAGAACTGACAGTCCATGCTCCCAAAAGTTTGAACCAACAGCCTAGTGTGAAAAGAAACTGCACTGAAAGGTAAAGGAGGAAATGGTGACGAACTGGGCTTATGTGAGAATGTCTATATTTTCATAACACAGCCCTAGAATCTTTCTCTCAGTGACAGCCTCAGGCAAACCACGTTCTGGTTGGTGGGTTCTGCAGGGACCTCTCCCATCACTGGGCCTCTAGTCCCAAAACCATCCTTGACAACATCGTGTGTCTGTTACTTCCCTTTGCCCACCTTCAGGCCACCTGGGGAAGCCCACAGGCAGCCAATACCCTGAAATGAAATGAACACAAAGTCTGACTCGGTGAGTATTAGTTTCAAACAGAATACTAGAGAGAAAAGTTGAAGCTGCAATGTGTGTTTAAGGCAGAGCCCAGCAGATCCATGTCCACCCATGTGCCAAAAAGACAATGGGCAAAGCTACAAATGGCAAGAGAAAAATGGGACTATTAATGAGTGTGGAAAAGGCCTTAATAGTTAAGTTACAGCTAAGAATGTCATGTCTTGGGTTAGAATTTTCATTTTTAGCACCGTTAAAGTATTCACTTAAATCTATGTTAGCACCTTGTCCCCAGGCAGAACAACAAACCATCCAAACATTTTAAACATTGGGGGAAACAGGAAGGGGAGGGTTAAAGAGAGAGAATCCGGTACTGCGGAAGGAGTGGATTTAGATCACAAGATCCTTGTCGATATCCTCTGCAAAGCAAGAAAAGATCAGGGTTAAAAATAAGGCTGTGTCGATGATGACGCACTTCCCAAGGAGTTGGTGGACTCCCACCCATCCCCAGGGACAGGGGTCTAGGTGGCCGTCCAAGGTCACCCAGGAAGTCAGTGACGGAGGAACCTCGCTCTCCCTGTCTCTGGCCTTTCCCTGTCTCTTACACACGCTGCCAAGTTACACTTCCTGTTTCCTCTCTGTGTGCCTGCCAGTTCCCAAAATAGTGTTTAGCACAGGGTGAGTGCTAACGCTGGAGGAAGGGAAAGAGAGAGAGACGGTCGGACGGACAGAGAAGGATCAGGAAGATGCCCAACAAACCGGAGTCAAATAGGCAGACAGAGCAGAGACAGGCAGAGAGGACAGACAACAGACAGACCAAGAGATCAGAGAGTGTGAGGATGACAAGCCAGAACCCTGGGAGCAGTGCTTCTGCCCACACCCCTTGCTCCTTTGCTCAGACACTCACTCTGCTTGATGCCGAAGCAGCCGGCCCACTCATCCAGGGCGATATACTTGTCATTGTCCAGGTCACAGGTCTCGAAAAAGCGGGTGGTGCAGTGCTCCATGGGGATGAGGGGAGCGCGCAGTGGGGCCAGCTCGGTGTGGGAGAGGTACCTGCAGGGAAGAAGGCAGGAGAGGGCCTGAGGCATGGAAAAGCTCCACACCCAGCCTAGGGAGGCAACCGGGGAGTTAGCCTGCCCTAGAGCGTGGAGGAAAGGATATTTAAAGCAGGACAAAAAGCCAGAATCCCAGGTCTACCCATAGCTCAGCCACTGACTGCTCTGAGACTCAGAGAACAGCAGTGCCCCATTCGGAACCTCAGTTTCTCCTTCCAGCAAAGAGGAGGAGTTAGCCGTAATTACTAACAGCCCTTCCAGTTCTACGGTTTCATGGGCTCAAAAACAAAGGTCTTTTTGGTGTGTTTGACTGTTTCCCAATTGGCTGAGAACTGGGGGCACAGAAACTTAAAATCAAAATTCAGCCCTTCTGCTATGGGTAGATCAAAATCTGGCATGACACAACCCTGTATATTGTCTATGGACACACATTTATATAACTATAAATGCCTAGTAAAGGTCTAAAAAGATACACCAATCTGGTGACAGTGCTGCCATCTGGGAAGGAATGCGGAAAGGGACTGGGATTGGCAGTGAGGGTTAATGGGAGCTCTAACCATCTTCATAGAGCTTTACTTGTGTATCCTGTAATGTCTGAGAGGGAGGTCCTTTGGATGTCTCTCCCACTGTCCTCCCTCCCTATTCTCCCTGCTGGCCTTAGACTTCAGAGCATGTGTATAATTTTTTTCTTTGTTCCCCAGAGCCCCCAACTACTTGTCCCTAAAACACTCTCCCCGCCAAGGATCTCCAGGGAACAATATGACTCCAGTTGTCTTCTTAACCTCTAGACCTCCCAGCCCCACCCAGCTCACCAAAGAAATCACACAATGTTTGAACTGATAGGAACCTTCTCCTCCCCTTCATTGTACTGGTGGAAAACCGAGGCCCAGGGAGGGGCAGGGATGCAGGCAAGGTCACCTACAGCCCTGGGATGGGAGGAGGAAGAAGTGGGTCCCCTTGCCCAGGCTGGAGCCCTTTCCCAGATGTGCAGTCCTTGCACCCCATCTGGAAGCCTCCTTCCAGGCCCTCTGTTGCAGTGGGATCCAATTGCTTTGCCTGAGCTCCAGATGTTCCCCCTTGACTTTTTCCCCTCCCTGCCACAATGAGTGACTCAGTTGGATCCCAGCCATGGCAAGAGCCTGGGAGAGAAGTGGCCGGGAGATTCCCAGAGCTCAGGAGACCCCAGCCCTTGGGATCGCTGGCAGGGTTGGTGGACTCCAGGCACACGGGCTGGATAAAGAGCAAGGGGTGAAAACCCTAGAGAGGCGGTTCCCAGGGTATGTGAGTAGGGCACCCTTCCTTTCTGCTGTGTGTGATGCTCTGCTTCCACAACCCAAGGACAAAGTAAAAACAACTCTGGGAAGGTGCAGGTGTGGCTTGCTCTATCTGATGCTGAGCAGGAACTCTCACTTCATCACCACAAGAAAAGTTCAGAAGGTAGTGACAGGGTTATGAACAGAGTATGAGTCCATAAGGGCAAGGACCATGCCAGATCTGATTGCTGCTCAATCCCCTGCCTAGAATAGTGCAGGGCACAAAATGCACACTCAGTAAGCATTTGCTAACTGACCAGCTGCCTGCTTGTTCTGCAGTGCCGTTGCAAGTGCCTCATAACTCATTTGGACAAGGGACAAGAGTCCTCAAACTGGGGGCTCGCAAAATAGATGGGATTTTTTGGATAACTTCCAGGGTCAGTTGCACCCTGTTGGGGCTGGGCCTTAGGAGAGGGCTTAGACAGTACCAGGTGGCTGCACTGCCTCTGGATGTTCTGCTGAAGGACAGGAAGCATATGGCTGACACCACCTTGTCCCCTGCCACCCCTTGGAGCCTGGTACTCCTTCCTAACTCACACTCCTTCATTATCCAGATATCCACACCTAGTACTTGCAGGATTATGGAGCTATTTTGAGCTCCTACTGACTTTCACCTCAGCATGAGAGTGTCTTATTGGTTTCTTTCTCCCAAGTCCACATCTTTTCTCCAGATGCCTCATCTTTCTGCTCCAATCCCCAGGCAAACTGTGGATGCCAGGGCTAGAAGCAGCAGAGGCTGCTGAGAGGCTTTCTGGCCCTAGCTAGCGCACCTGCCAGCCTGGAGTCATGGCTCTGTCCACTCTAGGGTCTGGGGTCTTACCCATCAATGGGGTGCTGGTCCAGCTGGCCGAACTGCCAGTGCACAGGAAAGATGTACATGTTGTAGTTCTTCTCAAAGTCCCGGGCCAGCAGCTCCACGGGGTGGTCTCCTGCCTCCAGGCGCTTCTCATTCTCATGGATCTTCTTCACCTGAGGGAGTAGAGACCGTGTGTGACAAGAGGTCCACGGAGATTGTCTGGGCCAGTCCGGCCCTCCCACCCCTGCCAGAAGGCCAGAGCAGGCAGAGACTAGCTAGACCAAAGCTCACAATGAGGGGAAGGAGGTGTCATAGATGGGTACCAGCATCTCATTCACAAAAACAGAAGCCTGGGATGATCTCAAAGAATTCGCCATATAGCTACCCACATCAAAATCACCTGGAGAAGTCCGGGCACACTGGCTCACGCCTGTAATCCCAGCACTTTGGGAGGCTGAGGCAGGCAGATCACCTGAGGTCAATAGTTTTGAGACCAGCCTGACCAACATAGTGAAACTCTGTCTCTACTAAAAATACAAAAATTACCCAGGCGTGGTGGCGTGCCTGTAGTCCCAGCTACTCGGGGGGCTGAGGCAGGAGAATCACTTGAATCCGGGAGGTGGAGGTTGCAGCGAGCCGAGATCGCACCACTGCACTCCAGCCTCGCAACAGAGTGAGACTTTGCCTCAAAAAAATAAAATAAACATAAATCACCTAGGGGGTATTTAGAATGCAGCTTCTTAGGCCTTGCTTTTTAGAGACACTGTTTCAGTGGCCTGAGGTGGGACCAAGGAATCTGCATTTTATCAGCATCCTGGGGTACGTAGTATGCTCTTTAAAGTTTAAGATCCACAGACTCCAAAGGAAAAAGGAACAGGGCTGTTTGTGTCTCTTTTGTTTAATGCTAAGTTAAGCAAAGGGAGCAGGTCTCTGCCGCAGGACTTCTCAGCGATCTAAGATGTTAATGTGCACCACCAGCCTCCAAAGGCGGGAAGAGAAGTATGTGTCCTGGTGCTTGGGGGTGAATGCACGCTCCAGAGCAGGATGCCACCGTGCAGTTGCGGGCCCAGTTCTAGGAATGGGACTGGATCTTCGCCAGCACAGGGTCAGCAGGGCCAGAGACGACACTTACCCGCAGCTTCTGCTTCTCAGTCAGGAGGTTGTTGTCTTCATCCCTCTCATACAGGGTGACCAGGACGTTCTTGAGCCAGTCCCGCATGCGCAGGGGGAATTCGGTCAGCTCAGAGTCCAGGCAAGGGGGGATGTCTAGGTTCCAAACACAGGGGTGGTCAGCACAGACCCTGACTCTCCCTGCCGAGAGCCAACCAGCTGCCTGGGCCGTGCTCCCCACCCCAGGGCCCCCACACACACCACCTGCATTGGTGGCCTTGGCACAGTGGCCCAACCTTTCTGGGCCACAGTTTCTTCACAGGACAAAGAGCAGAGGAGATTATATATGGGAAGAATGCTCTGAAAATGCATTGTGCAAAGGCATGGCTGCTGCTTTCTCAGCCTGATCTCCTCAGATCAGGGAAACGGATGGTTCCTGATGGCTCCTGCACCTTACTGGGTGCTGGGCTTTGGGTGTGATTCTAGCTGAGATGGCTTATGTTGTTCATGTCAACCATTGGCAGGTGTTTGAAGCCGGGAGGCTGAGGGATCACATCTATCCACAGGCCCAGCTTGGCAGGGAGTGGGGAGTAGAGGAATCAGGAACGTGTAACCACCAGAATCTTCTTAGAAATGATTCCAACCTGGTCTTTGGAACTTAGAATCACAAATGTCGGACCCAAAGATTTCATCCAAGTCCACACTTTTCTTTTTCTTTACTTTTTTTTTTTTTTTTTTTTGAGATAGCGTCTCACTCTGTTGCCCAGGCTGGAGTGCAGTGGCACAATCACAGCTCACTGCAGCCTCGGCCTCCTGGGCTCAACCAATCCTCCCTCCTCAGTCTCCTGAGTAGCTGGGACTACAGGCATGTGCCACCATACTTAGCTAATTTTTTTTTTTTTTGAGACGGAGTCTGGCTCTGTTGCCCAGGTTGGAGTGCAGTGGTGCGATCTCAGCTCACTGCAAGCTCCGCCTCCCAGGTTCACGCCATTCTCCTGTCTCAGCCTCCCGAGTAGCTGGGACTACAGGTGTCCGCCATCATGCCCAGCTAATGTTTTTGTATTTTTAGTAGAGACGGGTTTTCACCATGTTAGCCAGGATGGTCTCAATTTCCTGACCTTGTGATCTGCCCACCTCAGCCTCCCAAAGTGCTGGGATTACAGGCGTGAGCCCACCGCACCTGACGGAAGTTCACACTTTGTACTGGACTTGTTAGAGGTCAGCATGGAGAGACGGGACTTGCTCAAGGCCACACTGTCAGAGCCCCATCCAGCAGCCAGGGCAGTGTGGTTGCCTGGGGGCTTAGGGTCTGCTCTTCCCTCATCACTGGACCATGGAAAGTCCCCTCTGTGAGGCTACCTTCATTATTAGCTGGGGGCTGGGAGAGAACATCTGGTGATAAAAACCTTAGGAGTTGGAGTGAGTGGGCAACATGCCTCAGGGAAAGCAAAGGCACTTCGTAAAGGCTCCTTAAGACAGGCACTCTAGTCTCACTGCCCAGGGACTTCCTACCCATGCTTCTTCCCCCAACCCTGCTTCTCTACTCTGTACCTTCTCAATTTCACACCTGGGGCCCCACGAGGAGAACTTTGTTTCCCCTACGTACTTTTCTGCACCCTGTGCACCTGAGGTGGGTGAGTGGCTGTCCTCATTGCCATCGGGCCAGAATGTACAAGACCCATCGTGTGGATGTTGCCTTGGAGTGGGAGCAGGTGTGGTCTTGGAGGTCTCCCATGACAGGGAGGATGCTGAACAAGGGACCTGGCCCCACTGAGTCTGTAGCTGGGGTCACTAACCAAAGATCAGACCGCACCCTGGCATCCTTCCCCAGACAACGGGCTCCTAGGTTTCTGGAAGAGGGTGCTTATCCTCTCTCTTCAGAGGGCAGATAGAAATGTAATGTAGTAAAAGGATGATGATATGACAGTACCGAGTAACAGGGCCCAAAGCAAACTGACAGGCATAACCCTTATTTTAAAGCATTCAAATTCAGATATTTTCAAAATATTTTGTAGGCCCAGGTCAAACAACATTTTTGCTTTATAGTGTTGAAGCAAGAAAGATGCAAGTTAGCCTTAGAGAAGAACTTCTTCCTCGTTAGAGAAATGAAACGCGGTTGTCTCCGATGCTAGTGAGAGACCCCAGAAACCCTCCCTGATGCTGACCTTCCATAGTCGTTCAGTCCTTCCCCAGAAAGTACCCTGACCTCAGAGTTGAGAGGAGCCGACTCATAGACGATTACCTCAGTTTATAAACGGGGATGCTGAGACTCAGAAAGGGAAAGAGATTTGCCCAAGGTCACCCAGCATGGGGGTGGCAGAGCCAGCATCAGTGCCAGCTCAGAGCTCTCTCCCCAAGACAGGAGTCTGGAAGGGCCCAAGGACACTCACATTTGCAAGGCCCGATGTAGTCCAGGTGGAGCTTGTGGCCCTTCTTGGTGCCCTCCAGGGTGCACTTTGTGGCAAAGAAGTGGCAGGAAGAGTCGAAGGTCTTGTTGTCATTGCTGCACACCTGTTGGCAAAGCACAGAGCACCCCCTCCTTCATTCCCACAGCCCTTAGCTGATACCACTATCCTTGTGCATTTCAGAGATGGGAACAGCGAGGGTTAAGCAAGGAATGTCATTAGCCCGAGGCCATACAGTGGGTTGTGGTAGGGCTGGGACACAAATCCACTCTTTGGGTTCCCAGGTCAATGCTCAGCCCAGGCTGAGAGCCATCGATGGTCTTTGAGCAGAGGCATGACTGAGTCAGGTCTAAGACACAGGGGAAAAAAAATCCTGGAAGATATTTGAAGAGAAAGTTAAAGATGGGAATGGGAGAGAAACAAGAGTGTTCAAAGAAGAGTTAACATAGCAGGCCTGGAACTGTTACCCTTAGAAAGGCCTGCTTGTAAGGTCAGCCTGTGGCTGGTGTCTGGGAACTTAGCCGGGAAACAGTTCCCTGCACTGTTGTAAATATTTCCCTAACTGATAAGAGTGGCTCACTATGCCTGGACTGTTTGTACAAACAATCTGGTTCATGCTGAGCATCTGCTTTCCTTCTGGAAGTGTGAAATTCTGGTGCATGCTAGGCAAAGGGTACCTATGTGACCAGCCTCCAATTAAAACTTTGGGTGCTGAGTCTCTAATGAGCTTCCCTGGACAGAAACATCACTCATATGTGGTTGCATCTTTGTAGCTGGGGTAAGAATGCACTCTGATGACCCCTCATGGGAGTAAGTCAGTCTTCACCCAGATTCCTCCAGACTCTTCCTGTGTCTTTTTCCCTTACGATCCAGCTGTATATCCTGAATATGTCGCTGTACTAAACCTTAGCTGTGAGTACAACTGTATGCTGAGCCACTGGAGTCCTAGTCAATCTCTGAACATAGGGGTGGCCAAGCAGAGATATTGAGGGCTGGACGAGGGCAGTGGCCGTAAGTAGTTGTGTTAGGAGGAGGGGAGCCTGTGTTGAACATCCTGTCTGTACTTGCTTAGTATAGCTTATATGTCACTGCAGAGGGAGAACTGATGGGCACTGGTGACTGGGCATTGGGAGTGGGGAAGGGTGAGGAGGAGGAAAATGTTAACAATGATATTAAAATGTGGAGCCCAGAGGCTATGTAGTCTCTGGAGAAACTGAAGAGGGAGAAGCCAGATGGGAGGTTGTAGGAACAATGCTGGCCCCAGATTTGCTGCCATGAGAGAGACTGCCACTTGCATGATGGTGGGCAGGAGCAGGCACTCAAAAAATATTTACTTGGATGGACGGATGGATGGATGGATGGATGGATGGATGGATGGATGGAGGGATGGGTCCTATTGGAGAGAAGGGACATATTTGAGAAATAATTTAAAAATAAGTAGCATTTATTGGATACTTGTTATGTACCAAGCATTTTCTGGTACATGTCCACAACACTTCTATGAGTTAAGGACTATTTTTATCCTCTCTTTGGACGTGAGAAAACTGAGACCTGAAAAAGTTTGGCAACTTAGCTGAAATCTCACAGTTAACAAGTGATGGAGATGAGGTTTGAAGTCAGCCTTCGGTTTGGCCCCAGAACCTGTATTTTTGGACCTGATTCTTTGCTGATGCTCTTATACTCTTAGCTCTAGAGTCCGGCATAGGACTTGGAACCTGTTGGTGCTGTTAAAGTCTTGCTGGTTGCTGGAAAGATCCAGTGCCAGGCAGAGCACTCTGACTCATCCCCTCTTTCCTGCTGGGACTAGGTCTAGTAAGGGGACTTCTGAGACTGGCACTGCCCCCATAGAACCACCAAGCCGACAGTTTCCTGAGCAGACATCCTGTATTCCAAAGTGCCCAATCCCTACCCCCGCCCCTGTCTCTCAGCCCTCACCTTCTCAAACTCGCCAATGGGGGCCGGGCAGCTGGTGGGGTCCTGGCACACACACATGGGGGTGTTGTTCTCATCCAGCTCGCACACCTTGCCGTGTTTGCAGTGGTGGTTCTGGCAAGGGTCTGTAGGGCAGAAAAACAAGGGAATCAGCATCACCTGGACTAGCACATCTACCCCCATCCTACCTGGACAGATCTCAGGGCTGACAGTCCTTGGCTGTGGCCCCTACTCTGGGCTTTGGGCGGCCCTGAGTCCTGCCTGCTCTTACACTGAGCCTTGCAGTCAGCATTTAGGGGAGCAGCTGGTTCAGCTGGGGATTAGAGGTTTAGCTCGAGATAGAGGTCAGGCCCTTTTGGGAGGCTGGAGGCTCAGTCTGGGACCCAAAAACACTAGATGCCATATGACTTTCCCGAAGATTGAAGCAACCATTGTGTTCCTGGGTCTCCACTGAACAATCACAGTGAGGCTTTTCTGGATTCCAGAATAGGCTTTCTAGAATGGCTTAGAAAGTCAGCTGTTGACACTGAGCCAGGGAGCGGTGAGGCCCAACAAAACAGACTTAAGCAGCTGTAAAGGACAAGGGAGAAAAGCCCCAAGGTCCACGCTAGACAATAGAGCCTGGTAAACACCGGATGAGGTAGGCGTGGAGGCGGGAAGGAACATGACTCAGTAGACGTCCCTCTGTTCCAACAGAAACCCTGTGCCCAGCTAGATCGAATACCATTAACTATCCCCTCAGGATGAGAGCTTAATGTGGCCTTTACCTAGCGATGCTTTATTTTGGGTGTTTTAATAATCCTTTAGTGGATGCCTACTCAGCTTGTCTGTAAACCTTCTGACAGCCCTGGAATGAGGTTCTGCTGTCTTCATCAGCCCTATGTGAGAGATGAGAAACTGAGGCTCTGTGATGCTAAGCAAGCTGGCGTGGAGAAACCTAGGTTCAAAACTTGGTTGGACTGCTTCCAAAGTCCATGCTTTTAACCCCTTGGGTACAAATGCCTTGCACCTAGGGCTGCAGCCAGAGCCCCTAGGTCATTTCTCTCCCAGGGCACTAACGCACGGAGAGCATGGTATGGTTTATGTCAGATTGCATTTCCTCAGGACCTCGTTTCCTTGGGTTGTGTGAAATAGAATGAGCTTATGAGTGTGCAAGTTCCTGATCTCTTCTCTCAGATCTATTCCTCTGTGGGGCACGGGCTGAGACAGAAGCAATGGGGGATTTTGGCGACCTGATGTGATCAGCAACCTCCGTGGGACTGGGAAACTCAGCTTTGGACTCAGGGCAAAGAGCTATGAGGGGAAAAGGCCATTTTCAGCTGGAGAACTCTCCTTCTTACCACACACATGCATGGCCTGGAAACTGATCTTGCCCAGATCCCAGGGGACTGAGTGCCACAGTTCCCCAGTTATTAAGTCAAAGCCGTGTTTCCTCCATAGCCACTGAGGACCCCACCCTGCATTTCTGCTGGAAGGAGCCTCATGTAGGCTGTCCTCATGCCCCAGACCCAGGCAGCCAAGGGCAGCTTGGATGTGCCAAGTCGCAGGGAAGGGACGTACTTTCAGCTACCACCTCCTCTTCGGTTTCCTCTGGACCGTCATCAAATTCTCCTACTTCCACCTGGACAGGATTAGCTCCCACAGATACCTGGAATTGAGAGAGAAGAATGGGTAAAATGGTCCCCACTCCCATCCCAGACCCATAAGGGTAGCTGAAGGGTTCCAGGTCACAGAAAGCACAAATGCAGGGTTAGGAATCCAGATTTAATCTATAGGCCTGTTGTGTTTCGCAGTATGCCTGGGATTCTGTTGAGCTGCCTTAGAGGCCACCAGGGGTGTTAGGGAAAGAGAGCGTGAAAGGAAAATATATCTTGGACCCCAAAATCAGTAAGCTAAGGGGAAAAGTCAAGTTGGGAACTGCACAGGACAAACCCACCTCCTATTCTATGCAGTCGTCCCTGAGACAAATGCTTATCTGATTGCTTCCTCTCCCCTATTGTTTATGTAAAAATGCAGATTCACTGAGCCAGATTAAATTGTGTATTCAAGGGAAGGCTGATCAAGGACTCAAAAGAATGCAACCATTTGTCTCTTATCTTCTTCTAACCTGGAAGCCCGTACTTCTCAAGTTGTCTTGCCTTAGTGAACTGAACCAATGTACAACTTAGACATATTGATTGATGTCTCATGTCTCCCTAAAATGTATAGAAGCAAACCGTACTCCCGACTACCTTGGGCACATGTCTCAGAACTTCCTGGGGCTGTGTCATGGGCTCATCCTTAACCTTGGCAAAATAAACTTTCTAAATTGACTGAGACCTATGTTCACAAGAGGGTGTCAAGCCTCCACCCCTGCCAGTCACACCCAAGCATCTCCCCTTTCCTCTGTGTGTGTGTGTGTGGTTTTTATTTTTTTATTTTTTATTTTTTGAGACTGAGTCTTGCACTGTCACCCGGGCTAGAGTACAGTGGCGAGATCTTGGCTCACTGCAACCTCTGCCTCCCGGGTTCGAGCGATTCTCCTACCTCAGCCTCCTGAGTAGCTGGGATTACAGGCACATGCCACCACGCCCAGCTATTTTTTTGTATTTTTAGTAGAGATGGGGTTTCACCATGTTGGCCAGGCTGGTCTCGAACTCCTGACCTTGTGATTCGCCTGCCTCGGCCTCCCAAAGTGCTGAGATTATAGGCATGAGCCACAGCACCCGCCCTCCTCTGTTTTATGTTTGGGGAAACTGTGGGTAAACATGGAAGAACAGTTGTTCCACAGCTTAAAAAACAAAAAGTTTAAGGTCTTGGCCCCCAAACGTAGGGTTCTGTTGAAGGTTTGGGAAGCATTCAGGAGTGTGTCAGGATGTGGGGGATACTCAGGGTTTGCATTGATGCTATGTGTGTACACGGAGATGAACGCCGCACTCTAGCACTGAGACCCACAGCACCTGCCCTAATTTCTCAGGGCACAGAAACAGGTAGAGAGGGGCTAAGGGGCTGTGGTCACTGCCCACATACCTCGGTCACCTCTGCCACAGTTTCTTCCACCACCTCTGTCTCATCAGGCAGGGCTTCTTGCTGCTGTTGGAAAGAGAAAGTAGGGTTCAGGGAGGTCAGGAATGAGGCCAGCTTCACCTCCAAAGTGCCTGTGGCCTGAGATACAGGCTAGGGGGGCTTGGAGAGCAGCTCACTGGAGATCCCCAAAGTTGTGTCTCACGGACTGCCATGGGTGAGGGACAGGACAAAGAAGGAGCCAGTCATGTGAGCACCGTGGAACGTTCAAGCAGCTCTCATTTTATGTATTTTATATCCAAGGTGTCTACCTAAGATTTAGCTTGGAAAAGTATTTCTGCTGCTTTGATTCTTATAAAGTCTGAAAATCACTGATCCAGATCAATTCCCTCACTTTACAGATAGGAAAACTGACATCCAGAGGGGATGACACTGTGAATTTTAACAGATGTCATCATCTTCCTCACAGTCTGATATTATCATTATTATTATTAGGCAATGTTTCTTGCCATTTCAACTTGGAGTAGGAGAAAGCAAGAAAACACACAACTTTGAGGCCCCTAGGTGGCTGGGGCTGCTTCAATTAAACCCAACTTTGAGAAACTTTTGCCTCCATCTACCAGCCTGATCAAGATTGCCAAAGTCTGCCATCACTCCCACTTCTTAGTGAAGAAAAGATGAGGGGATCACAGGTTGAAAGAAATTGCACTTTTTGCCTGCCCTGCTTCTTCCTCCTCTCCTGGTGAAGGCTTCCAGATGGGCTGTGGATAACTACTCCTGTCCTCTGCATGTAATGCTTGGAGAAGCTGTCTGTCAATCAAGAGGCCCCACCCTTCCCTGGCCAAGATGTTGCCTCAGGACCCAAGCTCAGCCAGATTGGCTCTCATTTTTTGAATTTTTAAAAATCTTCTTGGCACATTCTCTCAAGATGTGAAAATTGCTGGAGTTGATTCATTCAGATAGCAACATCTCAGAGACTGTACATTAGTTCTTAACTCCCAAAGCCTAGATTTGCCCTTTTCCAGTCCTCCCAAGGCCTTTAATATTATAATCGACCTCTGTATCTTCCCCTCCTCCACCAATTTAGTTAGATTGAACGATTGCTTACAACCAAACAACCCTCGCTGTTTCAGAAGCCAACACGTTCCTCTCTCTATAGCTTGAATCTCGTCTAACACCACCCCTACCAGCAATCCCCCACATCCCGTCTCCTGCCTGCTTGAATTCCTCATATGACAAAGAGGTCATTTCCTTCTAAAGCAATCCTAGTTCATTGCTGGGAGGCTCTGACTACTAAGAAGTTTAGCTAACATTACATGGAACTCTCTCTTCTCTGAAGCATCACCCAATGGTCCTCATCCCAGTTTTTCTCCTGAGCTTATTAACTTAAGAAAAACAAATCTTAAAAAAAAAAAAAAAAAAGACAACTAACTTGAAATGGGGAAGTCCCTGTTCCCTTTCAACATCCAGGGCTGGCAGGCTCAGAACCCCTGGAGCTGGTGGTAGGAATGAAAACAAGAAGATATGATATTTAGGTACTTACAGGGGCTGCCAAGGCCCTCCCAGCCAGGCAAAGGAGAAAGAAGATCCAGGCCCTCATGGTGCTGGGAACCCTATGGGGAGGAGAGATTGAGAGTTCAGTGAGGGTGAGACTTCCTGATTGAGATTTCTGAATTCCTGATATGTGCAAGATAATGTTAGATGGTACAAGTTAAATGGTAGTGAAAAACATGAGAGGAAGTTGGTTCCATTTAATATTCTTTCAATTCTGCTTATATGAAAAGAAAGTCTCAGTTTGGTGCTAAGATATCTTGAACTCCTCCTTTATACTCATCTATCTCCTTTTTTAACAGAGAGAACAGGCCTCCAGCTCAGAGCTTCCACAGGAAATTATATCCAGCTGGAACTGAATAAAGTTGTTGTTTTTGTTTTTTTTTATGTGTTTGTTTTTACAGTTTCCTTCTATTTATGACAAAGGTACACAGAGTTTTCCATTTATGGTAATGATATAAAATCTGCTTTCATAATACATTTATTAAAGTTTTAAAAAAGTGATTCAACTAAGGTGATGGGCTAATTAGCTAAGTTTGGGCAATGCCAAACCAGACCATCTTCAAGGTCCCTTCAATCCCTGATATTCTAAAATTATTTTTTTCCCTAAACCCAATCTCTCCTCCTCCTTCTCTGTAGCCTCCTCCCCCTCCTTCCTACTCCCTCTGCAGTGGGAGAAGTTAATAGGCAGCAAGTTCTTGCCAGTTTGAGACAATGAGATCCACATACTAAAACAAAGAACAATAGCCTTGGAATGTAACCCATGGAAACTTGAGGGTGGCCACATTTTTCTCCATTCTACCCAGAAGGGACAGCAGTTCTTTAGTCCTGTAAGGAAACCATCCAGATGCTTCCATGTGTTGCAGAGGGGATGTGTTGAGATCTTGAAAATATCCCTGTTCTGGTAACTGTTAAGGCCTCATTCTCTAAATGGCAAGCTCTAGACTCTAATACTCTGATGACTATAAGGGATGTTGGAGCAGCATCTCCTCTGAGGATTCAAAACCAAAATGCCATTCCTAACAGAGGCTCTGTGGTGGAGACACTTCATTTCTTGTGCTAACTAAATGGCTTTTCATTTTTAAGTGACTTTAGAAAGTTCTTTCTTTTACTGATCTAAATCTGCCTCCCTCAAACCTTCTGATCTGTCTACCCTGCCTCCCCTGCAGCCACAAAGAACAAACTTGCTCTCTCTACCCACACATAGTCTTCCAGTCAGGAGCAACAATGGCCATGTCTTCCATCTTTTTTCTCCCAAAACCTCCCTGTCAGGCTCATCATCCCTTAATTCTTCCAAGACTTCTCAACTGACCAAATGGTGGTGGGAGGTAACCTGGCATCATGGAGAAAAACACTCAGCTTGAAATTAAATGCCAGGAGTTCTTGTTCTACCACAATAGTATCTTGATGTACCGGTTAAGTCTTTTGGTCTCTCTAGACCTTGGTTCCCCCATCTATCAATTGAAAGGGGTAGACTACGTGAACTTTGAAGTGGCAGCCTCGGTCCTTAAAAGGCTCTTAAAACACCCCAAGAACATTCTGGTCTTGACACATATCATCTCCTCTGGGATCATTTGGCTTCACTTGTACTATAGCATTTGGGAAGCAGAAACAGGCAGAGGAAGGGCCGACTTCATAATGGTCCTTTCTTGGAATTAAAGAGACACAAAACCTCACCCCCTATTGCATGGAGTGAATGAAATAAAACTAACAGAAATTTAAAGGACCTGGGGGCTTGATATTGCTTTACAATGACCCCAACTCCCAGAGGAGTCTAGTCTTCCCTTTGGAGGCAGCTTGTGGAATGTTCCTCCCCTCACACAGTTGTTCACTTGTTCCCCAGGCTTAAGTGGAAAAATCTCCCTTCTTACTTCCCCTTTTGGAAGACGCAACATAAATAACTCCTGCATGTGGCTCAGGACAAATGGAACAGAAAAGAAAACATCAAGGAAGGACTTTCTGAGACAGTTTGAAGTCGAAGGATCAAAGTGAAATGGCAGCTAAAACAAAACAAAACAAAAGTCACCCTGTCTGAGTTACAATGACAGGGAAGTCATGTTATTGAAGAAATAGCCCAGCTAGGACTGGAAATGTAGTAAGCTTCAGATTAGAAAGACAGGAAGACAGACATTTCCCTGAGTCTGTGTCCTGCACATGAGCAGTGTAACCATGCTTCCCTGTGACCAGGGGAAGGTTTCGCTGGGCAGCTCTTCCGTCTATCCTGCCTCCCCATCTTCCTGAATTCCTTTTCCAGCTGCACACTCACCCTCCCTTGCCACCCTCATCCCTGCTGCTGCAGCCAGAAGAGAAAAATAACTCTAAGTCTTACAGTGCTGCTTCATAGTTTCTAAAGCACTGTCACATAACACTGTCTCCTAGAGCCTTCTGACAATGCTGGGAAGGAGGCAGACAGTCATGGAAGGGTTCTTAGTCCCACAGTCCTAATGGGGAGTCTGAGGTTGAGAGGGAGGAAGCACTTGTCCAAAGTCATGCAACATTCAGGCCCTCTCCAAATAGGCAAGCGTTCTCGCTCATGGAGTTGGGGTGAGCCTGATAGGAATTATGCTCAGACAGGTGGGAGTGGGGGAGAAATACAGAGAGACTGTTAAGAACAGAATGCAAAATCTTGGAATACTCCCTCAAAGTTTTGGAAGAAAACTGTAAAAACAAACACCAAATTTGGGTCCTGCCCAGTACCCAGTGCTACACCACCAGTCCCAGAGCGCTTTTCCCCCAGATGATGAGATGGGAGGGAAGGGAAGCGGCTGAACTATTCCAGATGCACAGCCATACTCCCTGCTTCCCACAGGATACCTCTCTGAGGCTCTCTAAACCACCACTGACCAAAGAGGCCTGCGTCCATCCTGCAAAGCTAATGGAGTATAACAGTCACCCCAGCAAGGTCAGAGCACAGTGTCAAACCCCAGTATTCAGAACTTACCAGCCGTGATCCTTTGCCAATCAAACCTAGGTGTAGTGTGCCTGTTGAAAATTTAAATTCCCTTCATATAAATGACCAATATTAAATGAAAACATCCTCTTTTGTATTTCTTTAGTCTGTGATGATGCATACATTTATCATTTTCAGGGTGTTTTCATAATCCAGCATCCCACTGGGGACTCAAGCCACATCTTTCTGCCCAATAGTACAGATGAGAAGACCAAGGCCTAGAGGAAAGGAGAAACCTGCCAACAGCCGATAGCAGTGAGTGAGTGGCAGGACTAGGGTGAGGACCCATGCAACCCTACCCCACCACTGGCATGTCTCTACCTCTGCACACTATTTCCCTTAGCAGTTACCCACTCCCGGATGGTCACCTGAATGGGGCTCAGTTGGGTCTTGAACTGGCCTGAGTTCCTGGGAAGGAAAATGCCCAGGGCCAGGGGAGGAAGAAGAGGCATATTTCCCTTGGCTTGGTAGCCATCAAATGCAGACAGTCTTAGCCCCCTCCCGGCCGCCACTCACTGCCTCCTGTTCCGTACATTGAGTCCCTTCCTTTTGCCTTTATTTGCTCTGGAGACTGCTGAAAATCCGTCCTTGGCTGCCAGCAGGACCTGAAGCTGAGGTCACTTCTCTCTCTGGAAAGACTCCGAGGATGGAAAAGTACAGCCAGCCCCCAGGTTTGTCCCTCAAAACATAAAGGGCCTCCTTTGGGCTCTCCTTGGATGCTAAAAAGCCACTGAACGTTAGAATAGGGGGGATACCTCAGAATCATAGAATCATGCACTGTGGGTCTCAGAATGATAGACTCTTAGAACGTGAAGCAAAGAAACTGAGTTGCCATCTTTAAATCTTATTTGGGTGGAAAGAACTTATGGAGTAATGCAACCCAACAGGACTTCCCAAGATGATGAATATATTCTATATCTACACGGTCCACTATGATAGCTACTGGTTACAAGTGATTATTGAATGCTTCAAATGTTGCCAGCGCAAATGAAGAACTGAGTTTTAAACTGTATTTCATTTTAACCAATTTTTTTATTTTAAAATTTTATACAAAAGGACTGAGGACAGTCCTAAAAATCTTACTTAACCCAGACCTTGTTGAAATACTGCAATAGAGAATAGTGGAAAACATCTTTTTTTTTTTTTTTTGAGACAGGGTCTCCCTCTGTCACGCAGACTGGAGTGCAGTTGGCGCAGTCTCAGCTCATTGCAACCTCTGCCTCCCAGGCTCAAGCGATTCTCCCACTTCAGCCTCTTGAGTAGCTGAGACCAGAGGCACATGTGACTATACCCAGCTAATTTTTCTATTTTTTTGATAGAGATGGGGTTTCACTATGTTGCCCAGGCTGATCTCAAACTCCTGACCTCAAGCGATCTGCCCACCTCAGTCTCCCAAAGAGGTGGGATTACAGGCATGAGCCACCATGCCCATCTATTTCAATCAACTTAAATATAAAGTGGCTAGTGGCTACCATGGTAGACAGAGTGGTAATAAACTATGAGGCAGTACAGCATAAAGGTAAGCTCTTGGGCTCTGGAGTCTATATAGGTTCAAATCCTGGCTCTGCCACTTAGCAATTGTATGACCTTTAGAAATCAACTTTACCTCTTGGGGCCTGAATTTGTTCCCCAATGTGTAAAATGGAAACAACATACCAATCTTGAAAGGCTCATCGGTGATTTACACAAGAGAATCCAAATAAAGAGGTAGGCAATGTCGTCGCTGGGAAAAACATCTTAAAGTCCGAGGATCCCAGAATCTCCATCCCCCGAAAGAATTCAGTGCAAAATTCCAGTGCTTCATAAGACCAGGGAGAAGGGGGTGTTTGGTGGAACAAAGGACATATTGCCCCTGTTGGTCTGCATAAGTCCAGCCTCCAGAGGATACAGTGACGAAGACCAGGCCCAGGGCTGGCCTCTTACTCGGGCAGCTGATACCAGCCAAGCATCTCACTCTCACTATTTGGCTTGGAAACAAGGGCTTCAAAAACACATGTTGCTGGTAAACAAGCCCAAAGTGAGGAAAACAAGTCTAGAGGCTAATAAAGGAAGCCAGGAGCCAGGCCCTCCAGGGAGTTGGGACTCAGAAGGAGCTTGGGCTCTGCTGACGTG